TGGTCTCTTGTTACTTACAGCTGATTTTTCAGCCCCAGCTAACCAGCATCAATTGTCCCAGTAAAGCAAAGGTTTTGCTTCAGGTTCTGGTCTCTTCTTAATCACAGCTGATTCTTCAGCCCCAGCCAACCAGAACCCAGATTCTCAATCAAAAATCTCATACGAACAGCCCTGATAGTCTCCGCTTCCCTGTGAAGCTTCACAAGCCAGGCCTCCATCGTCCACAACTCTTTCAACAAAGCTGTTCCAAGCTCCACTGCAACAAACTCTAAGCGCACAATGGTTTTTCCAGCCCAAAGTTACAAACACTTCCACAGTCCTCCCCTAAACACAAAGGTCAGGTCTGTCACAAAAATCTCATACGAACAGCCCTGATAGTCTCCGCTTCCCTGTGAAGCTTCACAAGCCAGGCCTCCATCGTCCACAACTCTTTCAACAAAGCTGTTCCAAGCTCCACTGCAACAAACTCTAAGCGCACAATGGTTTTTCCAGCCCAAAGTTACAAACACTTCCACAGTCCTCCCCTAAACACAAAGGTCAGGTCTGTCACAGCAATATCCCACTCTCTGGTACCAATTTCTGGCCTAGTTTGTTTCTTTATTGCTGTGACAAAATACTCTGACCACTACCAACTTGGGGAGGAAAGGGTTTATTTGTCTTACATCTCCCAGGTCACAGTTCATCAGGGAGCCCAAGGTAGGAACTCAGGACAGGAACCTGGAGACAGGAGCTGGAGCACAGGCCATGGAGGAACACTGCTTACTGGCTTGCTCCCCTGGCCCCTGCTCATCCTGCTTTCTTATGCAACACAGGCCCACCTGCCCAGGGATGGCACCACCCACAGTGGGCTGCGCCCGCCCACATCACTCATCAAGCAGGTGCCCCGCAGACATGGCTACAGGCCAGTCCAATGAAGGCAATTCCCCAATTGTGGCTCCCTCAACCCAGGTGTGTCAAGTTGACACTAAAGCATCCAGCACTTACTTTGTCTGCCAAACACTATCTGGGCACAATGACTATGGAGGTGCATTTTCTTACCTCTCTCTCCCCCAATCCTAGGTCCCCTTGTTGGTTCCAGGACTCAGCTACCCACTGGAGACCTTTGTGGAGAGTCTCAGTAGGAAGGGCATCTCAGACATAATCAAGGTAGGTTGCCTTTTGGTACTTTAAGAAGGCAAGTGGGACCCCTGGAGGACAGTAGGGTGAGGGTGGACAAGGGCCTCCATGGCTGTGGGCTAGGGTGGAGTGTGCCTGCACAGTTGAGGCTTTGCAGCCTTCACATCCCTTTTACAGAGTGCTGGTGGCCTGTCATTAGAACCAGCACAGAAGACTTGGTATTAGCCGAGAGCAAAGAGAGGTCAAGGTGGCCATCCTCTCTGCCATGCACCTCCTTTCTAGGTGCTGGTGCTCCGGGAAGGCCAGAGTGCACCCTTGCTGAGTGCCCACATCAACATGCCTGTGAGCGAGGGGTTGGCAGCTGCCTGAACACTGGGCCTGCTTTCAAGACCTAACAGAATGGAGCCAGCCAGATCCAGCCACTTCCACAGAGCTGGGCCAGGTCCAGTGTCCCCAGGCCACTACCCCACACAGCAGTGTGTGGAGCAGCTTCCCGCTCCTCTCTTAAGCAGCCCCTTGCTCCCCACCTTTACCACTGGTCCCGAGCAATAGGATTGGAGGTGCCCAGGCTCGGCTCCTCCTCAAGACCCACCCAGGCACTGTCCCACAGCTCCTGCTCCCCGCTTCCCCTTCTTTCCAGAAACCTCACAAGGCCCCAAGAATAGCTCCGAAGTGGTCAAAGTGAGGAGAAGCCGAGTCCTTCTTTACTTCCACTCATCTCCAGCCTCAGATCAAGACCAGGATTGGCCTAGGAAATTAGAGGCTTTTCTCTGGTGACCCACAGGGGTTCTAGAGGTGTGGATGCTGCCAGTTCGGCTCCCAGGCAAAGCACATGTGCTGATCTTCCTCAGCTGAAGAGGCTCCACTTTCTGCCCTGTGGCCCAGGGAAGAGTCACAGGGCACTTTCCCAAGTCTTAGACTCAGCCTCCAAGGCCCACAAGGGTTGCCAGAGGAGGTGGTGCAGGAGGCAGAAGGGGTCCATGTGGGGAGCTAAATGTTGTGGCCCCAGCCAGAACTCCCATATAGCAGCTGCTCCTGACCTGGATGCTCATTCCCAGAGACTGTTCCTGAAGAGGAAGGCCAGGCTAGACAAGCAGAGGTATTCATGGCAACAAGAGAGGTGTTTCCAGGGTCTAGGGTAGCGACCCAAGGGACACATGCCTAGAAGTGCCCCTCAAGATTGCACTCAGGCCAGGGCCCAAGTCAGTTGTGTGGGTGGGGTGTTCACTGAGCAGGGGCCAGAATATACATGGTTCACTGGAAAGGCACACACCAGAGACATGGAGAGAAGCTGAAGACTGACTGAAGATGTGTGTGCAGATCCCAAGTGCCAGCAACTTCAGACTCCACAATCTACCCAGAACCACTTGGGAGCTGGAAGCCCTGCTCCCTGAAGAGCAGCGTCTTCCGTTGTCTGACCAGGTTCAACCTGGTGTGTGGTACACAGCTCAGGATTGCAGGTTCCATCTCCTATAAAAGAAGGTGGTGTGGGGCTGGAGAGATGGCTCAGCGGTTAAGAACACTGGTTGTTCTTGCAGAAGACCTGAGTTTGAATCCCAGCACCCACATGACAGCAAAGAACTGTCCGTAACTCCAGTCCCAGGGGATCCAACAGCCTCTTCTGACCTCCGAGGGCATTGCATGACACAGGTGCACTTACCTGCATGCAGGCAATACACACATACACGTGAAATATAAATAAATTTAAAAAAAAAATTTTTTTTTTTTGGTCTTTTTGAGACAGGGTCTCCCTGAAATATAAATAAATTTTTAAAAAAATTTTTTTTTTTTTGGTCTTTTTGAGACAGGGTCTCCCTGTAGCCCCAGCTGTCCTGGAACTCATTATGTGGACCAGGCTGGCCTTGAACACTCAGAGATCTACCTGCCTCTGCCTTCTGAGTGCTGGGATTAAAGGTGTGCACCACCACATCCCACAAAAAAATTTTTTTTAATTAAAAAAAAAAAAGGTAGTGTGATGGGATTGCTTCTAAAGTGCTTTCAGCTCTAACACCACCTGAGCTTGGTAGTTCTCTGGGAGCAAATGAGTTGGCCCAGAAAGGTGATGCTTAACTGCTCAGCTTTTACCCATAATACCAACAGCTCTAAGTCAGCCACTGCTGCCCAGCAATAGCCTCTGTGCCCAGCACAGGGACTGGGGTAACACCACACATTTTAACCTTTCCAAGGAGTACAGCTAGGGCCAAGTTAAGAGACAAGGGTTGGACCAAAGGAAGAACCCATCTCCCTCCCCACTGCCTGGCCACTGCTGGGACTGCCTGAGTAAGGATGGCAAAGGCTTCTGCATCAAACCAGTGGAGGCACAGCTGGGACAGCAGGAGGTATAACTGGAAATGGAGTTGTGAGATGGAGGGAGTGTTGCTGTCAGAAAGATCTCAGCCTAGCCTACAGAATTTACTCAGATGAAAGGTGTGTCCAAGAAGGTGATAAGCCCATCACTGATGTGATATGAGTAGGGTCTGGGTTGTCATAGGACTTCATGGTGTGTTGGGAGAGATGACTTTCCTGTTCCTTCCACCCCAAACTGAACTCAAAACTATGTGATAGGCACTCTTAATAGCTATTCAAGATGATGAAAAGGGAGCCCTCTGCCCAGCCCCTAATAGGAATTTGCATAATGCTCTGCTATGTACTGATTATTAAGAATGTCTGAACTGCATGTCATGGCTCTAAAGGAGCCTGAAGCAAGAAAGAGTGCAGTAGTGAGCACACCAAGATACTATAGACATTAAGGATGAGATGAGTTGGTATTTTTTGTTAATCTCTGTTTTGAAACAGGCACCTAAAAGTAATCTGGAACTTAACTATTTAAAATAAGGAAATAGCCTCTTCCCATTCCTTAAGACCAGTCTTCTGCAAAACTCATTTCTACTTCTTTTAGCTATTGTTTAAATACATATATACTATTATTTAAAAGAATTTCTTCTTAATTATATATGTGTATGTCTATGCACATGTGTGTGTGGGGGTGCCCGCGAAGGCCAGAAGAGGGCATCTCGGATTCCCTGCAGCTGGAGTTACATGCAGATGTGAGCCACCTGACGTGAGTGCCGACAACCTAACTTGGGTCCTCTGAAGGAGAAGCAAGCACTCAACCGCTGCGCCATCTGCAGCCCCTGAGTGTACTCTTGCTTTACCTGCCAGTCCTAGGCATTATCTGTTGACTCCCTCTAATAGATGGGGCTTTAGTGCTCTTGAGACACTTCTGCTCTCCATGTTTTTGGAAGATCAGTATCCAGTGTTTATGTTGGTATTTGTGTTGCTATTTGAAAGTTTTAGTCAAGCCAAGAATTGAGCTATAAATTACCATTTTTGAACTTTACTTTTTCCTGGAGTTTATCTTTGCTTTAATTTTCTTTCTCATTGCTGTCACCGGTTTTGTCTTTTTTTTTTTTTTTTTTCCTTTGCTGTTTTAAAATTTCATTCACTGCCGGGGGGGCGGGGCCGGGAGGACAAAGGCAGGCTTGGTTTCCTTGGTAGTTCCAGGACAGCTGGGGCTACAGGGAGACCCTGCTTCAAAAAGACAAAAAAAATTTCATACACTATTTCCCACTCATATCCAGACACCGCCGCCACCACCACAGAATCCTATGCACTGCCATACGTGCTGAGTCCTATTCATTCAGGTGTTTGTACCCAATGTCCTTCAGTGTAAATGTGTCCACTGGAGTCTAGTCAGCCCATCCAGTGGTCATGTGTAAGTCATACTCTCCCTCACCCAGCAGCAATCGGTCTCAAATAGTTCTCAATCTAGTGCTGACCCACTACCTATTTCTCACCTCCCCTTTGGGCCCTTGTTTAATTGAGGTGACATGGGTCCTGAATTTGATGTCACTGCTGCCACGGGTACACATGAGCAAGCTTCCATTGGCCTGGAAGCCTCCACCTCATAGGTTCATGAACCAGCCCTGGCTCTTACAATCTTTCCACCTCCTCTTTCACAATGGTCCCTGAGCTGTGGGTGGGTGAGGTTCCAATATAGGCATCCCATCCTACACTCTAGTCTCTTATTCACCAAAACTTGGCCAGTTGAGGTCTTCTGTGTGCATCACACTATGATGTACATAGAAGCCTCACTGGTGAGAGTTGTGGGGTGCATTAGCCCTCTCTCTACCCCTTATTTGGCTATGTTCCGTGAGCTTGGTTGTAGAGACTGCAGATGTGTCACCTAGTACTGGGGCATCTCCCAGGTGTATGTTCTCTATGCCTGACCAGATGTGCAACTCTGCAGTAGCCTCCATCTGTTCAAAAAGAAGCTTCTTTGATGAGTGCTGTTTGGCGTGTTATTTGCTCTAAGGGAGGTCTCTTCTATCTGGCACTGCGTTCCCTTCCAAGAAGCTCCTAGGTATACATATGCATTAATGTTCAGACACTGTATAAGTTTCTCATAGGGTTTCTATGGCATCACTCTTCGCTCTAGGTTTCCTAGCCCCTCGATATTCACTCATCTCTACTCTTTTTCTCTCATCTGGCCTCCCTCCTCCCTTCCTAGTCACAGTGCCCGTTATTCCCTCCCTCCCTCCAATACCTTCTGATTCCCACCAACTTTCCGTTCCTGACTTCCCTCGCTCCCTCACACTATCGTCCCTTTCATGTCCCTAGTTTTTGTCATCTTGACACAGACACACCTGGGGGAAGAAAATCTCAACTAAGGATTTTCCGTCAATTGGCTATGGGAATTTTCTTTGTTGCTGATTGATGTAGAAGGCCCAGCCCACTGTGGGTGGTGCCATCCCTGGACAGGTAGCTGAGCAAGCCAGCAAGCAGCGTTCTTCTGCGGTCTCTGCTTCAGTCCCTGCTTAGCAAAGTGTAAGCTAGAATAAACCCTTTCCTCCCCCAAGTTGCTTCAGGTCATGGTGTTTTTCAGCGACAAAGCAAAGGAGTACACTGCTTAGTTTTCTAAATACACCGTTTGGTCACTCTCCCATCCAAGCTCTGTTCTTTTCTCTAGACACGTCCCTTCATGCTTTGCTTCCTTGTAAACTGCTCTACAAGAGAATCTTCTTTCCCTTTCTTCGTCCAGGCCTAGCTCCCCTGATTCCTGGGCTGCATGTCCTCTTTCTTACTCGGCCCTCATTTGATAAAGCATATCCATGGGTAACTGGTAACTTCTTTTTAAAAACCTTTCCAGTGTTCACAGCACTGCCTGTCTACATGTTGCCTTATCCAGTTCGCATGCAAGTCCGGCCAGGTCACTTTCCACAGCTGCTCACGTGTCTTCTGACTCGGTGTCATCTCTACTCCTGATTAGTCTCTGTCAGGTTCTGAATGTCACGTGAGTTTTGATTATTTGTTGTGTTGTGAGGTGGGAATAGATGCGAATCCTGCATCTTGAATCCTACTCTTCCAAGAAACTATTGTTTCTTGGTGATTCTCTGTTCTTTGGAACACTAACTAAGCCCGACATTTGATAAATGGTCACTCCTGAGAGGACTAGGCTGACCCAGATTTTCTTCTCTCTTCTTTCGTATCATCTTTTTGTTTTCTGAAAATGAGAATTTTGTCAGTTTCTCTTAAGCTTAATTTTTTTTCCTATTTTAGTTCTTTTCTTAAAAATACTTTATTACTGCCTCCCCAGACTTGGGATGAGGACACTGCCAGCTTCATCATCTCCTCACCCTGAGTCTTTTAGCCTGGGTGTTAGCATTTTTAGAAAGAGACCCTTCAGGAGTTCTGCTTCTGACTAACTGCCCCTGTAGCCGGGATCTGTGGCGAGACTGTAACTAGTGATGTTTGTACAACCAAAGACTCTATTTTGTGGTTTAAGGAGAATAAAGTTGACTGCCTTTAAAAAAATTTTTTTTAATTTTTATTTTACATGTATGAATATATTGACTGCATGTGTATAAATGCCTCTGTGTTGTGCATTGCCCGTGGGAGTCAGAAGGCATCCGATCCCCTGGAACTGGAGTTACAGATGGCTCTCAGCTACCATTTGAGTGCTGGGGATCAAACCCAGGTCCTCTGCAAGAGCAGTCTGTGCTCCGAACCGCTGAGTCATCTCTCCAGCCCCTTGTTTTGGTTCTTAACTCCTCTGTTTAGTCCTTGTAGAGTTTTTTGTTTTCATTTTTTGAGTCAGGGTCTCACTGCCTGGCCTGGAACTTGCTGTGTAGACCAGGCTGGCCTCAAACTCATAGAGGTCCCTGTTGCCTTTGACTCTCAAGTGCTGGAATTCTTGCTTTAAAAAAAATTTTCTTTTGCGGCCAGGCATGGTGGCGCACGCCTTTAATCCCAGCACTTGGGAGGCAGAGGCAGGCGGATCTTTGTGAGTTCGAGGCCAGCCTGGTCTACATAGTGAGTTCCAGGGACAGCTGGGGCTACAAGGAGACCCTATCTCAAAAAGACCAAAAAAAAAAAAATTTTTTTTTTTGCATTTATCTATGTGTGGCGCCTTAGTAGCATCAATTAAAACAAAGACCAATAGTGAACTGAATTAATGAAATGAATGATTCCTTCTAAAGTCAGAAACACTGGAGAAACAGTTCAGTAGTTAAGACCACTTACTGCTCTTGCAGAGGACCTGGGTTCAGTTCCCAGCACCCATACCAGTTAACTCCAGTTCCAGGGGATCCAGTGCCCTCTTCTGGTCTTGGTTTGGTGTTTCTGTGTTGTGGTGATAAAACATTGACCAAAACCAGCTTGGGGAAGAAAGGATTTATTTTGCTTACACTTCCACGCCACAGTTCATCACTGAGAGAAGCGGGGCAGGAGCTCCAGCAGGGCAGGGACCTGGAGGCAGGAGCTGAAGCAGAGACCATGTAGGAACACTGCTTACTGACTTGCTCCCCTGGTCTGTGCTCAGCTCCCTTTCTTTTTTTGGTTTTTTTTTTTTTTTTTTTGTCTTTTTGAGACAGGGTCTTCCTGTAGCCCCAGCTGTCCTGAACTTGCTATGTAGACCAGGCTGGCCTTGAACTCACAGAGATCCACCTGCCTCTGCCTCCCAAGTGCTGGGATTAAAGGCATGCGCCACCACACCCGGCTCAGCTCCCTTTCTTATACAGCCCAAGACCACTTGCCAGGGATGGTACAGTAAGCTAATCGGAAATCAAAAAAATGCCTCAGGGCTGGAGAGATGGCTCTGCAGTAAAGAGCACTGGGTGCCCTTGCAGAGGACCCAGGTTCGATCCCCAGCACCCACATGACACCTAACAGCCATCCATAGCTCTAGTTTCAGAAGATTTGACGCCCTCTTCCGACTTCCGCAGGCATTGCACAACACTGGTGCACTTACAGGCACACTGGCAATATACTCAAACACAGAAAATAAATGCCTCATAGGCGTGGCCACAGGCCAATCAGCTGGAGAAAATGCTTCAATTGAGGTTCCCTCTTCCCAGGTGTGTCAAACTGACAACTAGCACTAACACAGGACTCTGTGAACACCAGGCATGCACATGGTGTTCATACATACATGTAGGCGCTCATACATAAAATTTTTTAAAAAAAGAAACCAGGGTTCCTCTACCTACCTGCTCTCTACATTGTATAGTGGTCTTGCTCATGTAGAGGAACAAGAACAGTAAAGATATAAAACCTTAAAAACAAGTCAGCTGTGGTGGCTCATACCTCTAATCCCAGCACTCAGAAGCTGAGGCAGGAGGATCACTTAAGAGTTCAGGGTTACCCTGGGCTATACAGCTTCAAGTCAGCCTAGGCTGCTGATTCAACCAACACAAAAAGAGTTTTAAAGGAAAAACAAAGAGTACAATTACAAATGCTATAATACTACAAACAAAAAGATTCACAGTGAGGGCTGTTGAGATGGTTCAATAGGTAAGGGTGTTTGCTGCCAAGCTTGATGAACCTGAGTTCAATCTCCAGAACTGACTCTCAAAACTGTCCTCTGACACCTGCACCATGGCACACATGTGCCCCCACCCCCATACATGGAAAATGAATTTTAAAAATGTAAAAAGAATCTACGAGTTTTATGTGTGCTGGACAATATAGGTCACATATAACAGCATTAAAACACTAAGAATGAATCAACTCAAAAGACATGATTTGCCCAGCAGGTGGCGCACGCCTGTAGTCCCAGCACTTGGGAGGCAGAGGCAGGAGGATCTCTGAGTTCAAGGCCAGCCTGATCTACATAGTGAGTTCCAGGAAAGCTGGGGCTACAGGGAGACCCTGCTTCAAAAAAAAAGACATTTTTATCAGGGAAAGTATTCAATGAAGAGATACACACCATATTCACGAACTGGAAACTTCAATTTCACATAGATGTCACTTTTCCCCACTGATTTACAGTCAGTTGAGTTCCATTCATGATCTCAAAGGGTATTTTTATTGGTGAAACTTGACAAGCTGATTCTAAGATTGATCAGGAAGAGCTAGGGCTCTTAGGTGATTCACAAAGGACATGGGGGTAGAGAAAGTGACCAGAAGAAAACAGGTTAGTTGTGGTCTATTCAGATCTCCATATAGAAGGGAAAAGGGGTACGTACCATTGCATGCAGTAATTGGGACACATCTCAGAAACATAATATTGAGTGAAAAGGCAAGTCACAGAATAATAAACCTGGTATGATTCCATTCATATAAAATTCAAGTGTGCAGAACCAATACAAAAATATCTAACAAAATCTAAAGCAAAGCAAGGGAAGGTTAAGACCAGACAGTGCATCTCCCCAACCAGGGAGGGCACAGCAGGGAATTCAAGACAATGCTAAGTTTCCCAAACAGGAGGTGATGAGTGCATCTCTTCACTCTTAAAACAAAAAACATGAAAACTAGACATTTTATAGGGTGAATAACACAGAAGAGGAAACTGGGTGGATCTGCCAACGCCTTCTGTACACAGAACCCAGGGCCAGGCACACAGAGAGCCTGATGTCTTTAAAACAAAGCAATAGAGCACACTTGAAAACAAAAACAATGACCTCAGGGGCTTGGGCAAAGCTTGTCAGATCCCTGTCTCCCAAGGATTGGGAGGCAGCATATGATTACCTGCACAGAATCCTCATCATTTTCTATCGACTTTTCCTTAGCCCCATTTTTGACCCAGCCCCTCATTCCCATATTCCCCAGTGCCCCTGAGATCCAGAGCTTTTCTGGTCCAGTCTGTGGATATCCCACCCCCACCCCATCGCAGAGAGGCTGCTGCTTGGCTACAAGGACAGGTGAGGTCTGTGAGGAGGAACATAGCTAGTGCCCTCATACAAACTTTCCAAGCTCCCCACACCAAACCCAAGGCTGGCCCAAAGCCTCACCTCACTCACCTTTCACAGCCCTAGGGAAGTTCCTAGGTCTCCCCAAGGTTCTGAGAACAATTCACCTGGCCTATGGGGCCCCCTCCCTTTGGGGAGACATAATTCAAGTTCTAATTCTCTGCTAGGAGAGTGAAGCAGCTCCCACCTCTTTCCATCCTTCAAAACACTGTCAGGCTCTTTGGGGCACTGCTGGCTCCTATCTTTTTCCCCTTTATACATTTTATATCATTTTTATTTTTTATCATTTTAGTGAGCCTAAGAGCAAACGGAGATAAACTGGTGTGAAGCCTGCATGTTTAAATATTTTTATTTTTTATATGTGTATGAGTGTATTGCCTGCATGTAGGTAAGTGCACCCGTGTCATGCAATGCCCTCGGAGGACAGAAGAGGCTGTTGGATCCCCTGGAACTGGAGTTATAGACAGTTGTTAGCTGCCGTGTGGGTGCTGGGATTCGAACGATAGTGTTCTGCAAGAACAACCAGTGTTCTTAACCGCTGAGCCATCTCTCCAGCCCCCAAGCCTGCCATGTTTAATGCTTACTATATTTATATAGATGTTCAAAACTAGGCGTTGTGGTTTACCAGACCTGTAATCCCAGTACTTGGAAGGCTGAGGCAGTAGGATTGCTGTGAATTCAAGCAAGCCTGGGTTACATAGTAAGTTCCAGGCCATCCTGGACTACCAAATGAGACCCTTTCTCTAAAAATAAACAAATAAACAGAAGCAAAGCAAACAAAAAAACAGTAGTGAAGTGCTGAACAAGTTGCTCCCAAGAGCCACAGAGGTGCAGGCCACCTGCCCAGCATTGTCCTTCGTGGGCACTGCACACACCACAGCTAGTTGCTTTGTCCTGATGTTTCTCCTGCTCACTTCCTTCAGCTGTGTGAAAAGTGAAGGAGCCTTGCAAAGATCTGAGTTCAAATCCAGCCTCTTCCATTTTCCACCCCATCTGCCACACTGTCTGGTAGAACTTTACATTTTTCACTCACAGGATCAAGAAGCTATGGCCCCACAGACCAGGTTAGCCAGAAGAGCATCCTTGAAACCCCTGCTGCAGAAATGTTTCTGTCACGTGCTGATCCTCTAAAGCATGTCTGGATTCTCCTTGCCTGTATCCCACCTCACCTTGCCAGGGCCAGAGGAGGCAGAGCTCTGGCCCATCAATTGCATAGGCCTTTGGTGGTCTCCCAGGCCTGACAATCATGGGAACCAGGAATAACAGCCAGAATAACAAAGTGAGGGATGGGAACCCAGCAAAGATGAAGGGAGGCCAAGAGCTAGGTGGGCACTTTATCAGTCTGACAGAGGGGCAGCCAGGCAGGCCAACCAAGCAGCCCCCTTGCCAGACCTTCCTCTGCCCAAAGGGACTGAGTTACAGTGTCTTAACTCTAGACATAGAAGAACCCAGACTGGGCAGGGGCAAGTCGAAGGAAGGAGTTTGGGCTTCTCCACTGCAGGCATGACGCTGAAAGCATTCTCAGTTCCCTCTTCTGCTCCTCTCTGCCCTCTTCAGTTCTGGCTCTATCTGGACTCAGGAAGTCACAAGGCCCACATCAGCTGGGGTCTGGAAGGTGATCCCATCCCCAGGCAGCGGGGAAGCTAGGAAAGGCCAGAACCAGACCAGGGCCCAACGTGGCCCCAGGGCTGCCTGCAGGTTGTGGCAGAGGCCCAGGTCATAGGAGTGCTGGCCCCGGGCCCACTCCCACGTGGTCTGGCCTCTCAGTAGCAGCATCCCGTGAAAAAGCAGCCCAGCTCCGCATAGCAGTGCACCTGCCACACACGTGTCCATCACAAAGGCCAAGGTGAACTGGGCCAGAGAAACTCTGCCTGTGGGGAGAAAACAGAGAGAGTTAGGGGGTAGCAGTTGGCCTGGCCTTCCCAAACCCAGCTTCTGCCCTCCTCCCATCAAAATGAGAAACACTCCTCCATTCTGTCCATTTCATTGCTTAAACACACCTGCGCTCTATGTCACAGTGGAAAAGTACATCATCTTGGACCACCAGATGCCATGAAAGTGTGCGCCAGGCACGGGCTGTAGACTGTGCTTTCTATGAGATGTCCCAAACAGGCAGACACATGGGCAGAAAGATTAGTCTTGTCAGGGCTTAGAGGATTTAGGGAAGAATGGGGGGATGGGAGGACCTGCCTACTATACATAGCATATCCTTGGGGTGAAAATGTTCTGAAATTAGAAAATATTAATGGTTGTACTACACTGGGAATATACTAAAGCCACAGAATTAGTGGTTTTAACACCTTACATTACATCAATAAAAAGGAGCTTGGTTTAGGGAGATGGCTCATTTGGTAAATGGCCTGCCTTGCAAGTGTGAGGCCCTGAGTTGGGTTCCCTAGAATCCATGTAAAAATTTGTGTATTGGGGGCTGGAGAGATGGCTTGGAGTTATGAGCACTTGCTGCTCTTGCAGTGGACCTGGGTTCCATTCCCAGCACCCACGTAAAAATCTGGATGTGGTGATGCACACCTGTAATCCCAGGGATGGCTGGATGGGAAGCTGAAGGTAGATCCCTGGAGCTCATATGCCAGCTGGCCTGGCCTACTTGGCAAAGTTCCAGGCCAGGGACAGACACTGTCTCAAACAAAAGACAGAAGGTGCTGGAAGAACAACACCCAAGGTTGTTTTCTGATCTACACACACACACACACACACACACACACACACACACACACAGAACCCATATCAGGAAGGGTACTGTGCAAAACGATAGAGGAAACAGACTTCATCTATTTTGATAAAGTTGGGAGCAAACAGCCTGCTTCCAGGAGAGAGGCTCCTGTCTATGGTCTGGAAACTCAAGACTGCTGCACAGCAGATCTGTGAGTAGTGGAGACTAGGGGAGAGGGGCTCCAAGAGCAGCTAGACATGTCAGAACATTAGGAGTTAGAAGAGCGGCCTCCTACACCCAAATCCAGAGAACCAGTTCTTTGGAGATCAGACAAAAGGAAACCAGAAGGGAAGGTAGGGATGGAAACATCAAAGTCTGAGCTGTCAGTGGGGCCTAGGACAAAGCATGTCCAGAACGCAGCACTGGCGGCTTCTGAGCCTGAGAGGGCTCCTAAAGCAAGAAGAGCGGGAAAGGACCTGTGGCTTTCCTGGAGACAGAGCCTGGCCTGTGCCACTGTGAGAGAGGGCAGGGGCCAGGGGGAAGCAGAGCCTGGCCTGTGCCACTGTGAGAGAGGGCAGGGGCCAGGGGGAAGCAGAGCCTGGCCTGTGCCACTGTGAGAGAGGGCAGGGGCCAAGGGGAGCAGAGCCTGGCCTGTGCCACTGTGAGAGAGGGCAGGGGCCAGGGGGAGCAGAGCCTGGCCTGTGCCACTGTGAGAGAGGGCAGGAACCAGGGGGAGCAGGTGGAGGAATGAACAAGGAGGGAAAGCAACTGTGAGACTGCCCACATCCTTCGGAAGAAGGCAAAATGAGAAGATGGGGATGAAGAGGTCTTTCTTAGGAGAACCCCAAGAAAGCCAGTGAAGGAAGTGAGGGCATAGAAACAGACAAAGCAGGCAGAGGCCTCCAGCAGGGAAGAGAGTGCCAGATTCCAGAAGCTGGGGGGCAGGCAGCCAGGCTGGGAAGGTTAAACACATGACCGGTTGCTGCTACTGTTTCAATATACATAGCTCAGGCTCACCTTGCACTTCCTATATAACTCAGGTTAGCTTTAAACGCTCAATGCTCCTACCTTAGTTTCCCACATACTGGAAGTACAGGCATGTGTCTCCCATGCTGGGCCCACAGACAATCTGGGATATACTATCTGATGTCCTCTCTGCAGGACCCTGGGGTATGGCGGAGTAGAGAAAGTTTGAGCAGCAGTCATTGGGAGAGCGAGATTTCAGGAAAACGCAATGACCAGGTAGGTTGTGGGCCTGTTGAAAGCAGCAGCCATGAACATGGCACTAAGTATCTCTGGCAGCTCTCAATAGGGAGGGGAAGGAAGATGAGCTTGAATGTTCTAAAGCACGGCAAGAGAAACATGGAAATGAGGGCTCTGAGCTGCACAGCAATAGTGAAGACAGGACAGGTCGGAAGAACAGAAAGGTAACAGCTGGAACCTGCAAGGCCCAGCAGCTCCTAGAGCAGGTGTTACCAACTGGGAGAGTGAGAGACAGATAGGACTGAGGGTGGAGGGGCACCAAGTGGGATGACCAATGGAGGTGACACATTCTGGGTCCTGACAAGCCATTGTGGATGTGAGAGTTGCGAAAGTAAAATGGAGAAGGAGGTCAAGAGATGGAAGTGGGGAGTGGTGGCATACTGTGCTCGCAGTACTTGGGAAGCTGAGGAGGAGTACTATGAGTTCAAGGCCGGGGCTACACTGTTGGGGACCCCTGTTGTGAAGTAGTAGTCTCTCCATGTCCGGACAGCCCATGGGCTCGGTTTCATATGCAGAAGACTCCTTTTCATCAGGGTACCTTCCCAGCATCTTCCTGACTCGTGTTTTGAAGTAGCCGCCACAGAAACATGACCTCCGGCTCTGGAAATGCCAGGTTTTCCTGTGTGATTTTTCTGGCAGTCTAGCAGCCTGGCAGGAGCCCACTTCCATATGTAAATAGGGTATCCCACAAAGTACCTATCAGCTAAAGCTTTTACCACTACCCCCACGGTATAAAGTTTCCTGGTTTTCCCTCAATAATTGGAGCTGGATCACTAGGAGCTGGAGCTGGGACACTGAGACTTGGAGCCAAGCAGAGTCACTTAATAAAGAGCTGTAACATGGACTAAGCTGAGTCCCGTGTCTTATTGCCTTCGATCCAGTCTCCCCGGAGAAAGCTGTTTCTTCGTAAGCCGATTCACGGACACCTAGCTTTAGCCGCCCCGCTCCTTCCCGCGTGATCCAGCGGCCGGTGGATTTCGCATCTTGAGGAAGTGCACAGGTGAAATTAGGGCAGAACCCGGCCGGGCAAGCCCCGGCAGTGGAGACCCACAGAGACGCGGGAAAGCGTCTCTGCGGGAAAGCGGCGAAGAACGCGGAGCAGACGCCCCGGGACCCGCCGCCTTCCAGGTGTGCGCAGGGGACTTGCACCACGCTAGCGCGAGACCTTCAGCACCCCAGCGGCGGACAGCGACGCGGTGTGCGACCAGACCCGCTGCATCTCCAGGTGTGCACAGGGGACGCCCCGAGATCCCTGCGCAAACCCCATACTGCACAGTGAGACTTCATAGGAAGGGAAAGGGAGAGAAGGAAGGAGAAAAAGAGGAAGGAAGGAAGAAGGGAGGGAGGGAGAGAGGGAGGGAAAAATGAAGCAAGCCATCTGGGCAAGATGGAGTAGTTGCACTTTCAGATGCTTATGGTTCTAAGAGGTCTCAGGGCTGAGAGACTGGGAGCTGTAGCCTGCCCAAGTCTCCAGTGACCAGGGGCACTGAGGTAAGCTATGCTGAGGGCGGGAAGGAGCAGCTAAAGCACCCAGCCTCAGAGGAGACAGGGCCATCAAGGAGAGTGGAGAATTGGTCAAGAAGTCAGCATGAATACCCCAGCAGGCTTCCAGAGGCTCCCACTGGGCTGCAGGGCAGGGGTACTTGGGACAGAGGTAGGCTTGGATAGGATGAGGAGGCATGATGATTTCTCTGAGTGGTCAGGGAGGCTGCAATCTACAAAACAAGGTTAAGAGGGACTGTGGAAAGGCCAGGAGGAAAGGTTCAGGAGAGAAAGCTCAAAGCATTCTGGTCAGAAGAGACAAAGAGTCAAGAAATCCATTGGGGCTTTCAAAGAGCAACTCAATCAGCCTCCTGCTCCAAGTCTCCTCCCAATTGCTAAAGGAAGTGGCTTCCCCTGCCTGGAATTCTCACCGACTCCCCACTGCCCCATCAAATCAGAACCGTCCTTTCACACCAGCATTCAGGGCCCCCCCCCCACACCTGGTCCTGACCTGTCATCCTGGCCTCAACTCTTACCATTCCCATGAAATCACCTTGGTTTCTTTTGGGGCTTGTGTTCATGCAACTGCCCTCACAGTGCCCACCTCCCTTAAAACAGCCTCCAAGATCCAAACACTCCATGGACACCCACTGGCCTTTCCACCTCTGCAGCAAGTCCTGGGGCCCTTGCCTGATTCTAATTTTTTTTTAAAAAAAAACAAGTGCTAGGATGGGCGTGGTGGCCCACACCTTTAATCCCAGCACTTGGGAGGCAGAGGTAGGCGGAGCTCTGTGAGTTCAAGGCCAGCCTGGTCTACATAGTGAGTTCCAGGACAGCTGGAGCTACAGGGAGACCCTGTCTCCAAAAAAAAAAAAACAAACAAACGTGTTTTGCATATATATGCACCCATATGTGCAATATCCATGGAGATGGAGGCCTTAATGATGTCAAATTCCCTGGAACTGGAGTTACAGGTGGTTGTTAGCTGCCATGTGGGTGCTGGGAACTGAACCTGGATCCACTGCAAGAGCAGCCAGTACTCTTTAAACACTGAACCATCTCTCAAGTCTCCTGTCTCTAGTTCTAGAGGCCAGAACTCTATTCTTGTCTTAGACCACCATGTAAAATACAGTGCTTCACACCCAGTTAGGCACCAGACCGCCCTCTCTCCTTAAATGACACTGGGATTGGATCTCCAGAGCATTGGCTGAGAGAACCAGCTGGACAGCCCCACCTCCCATCCAAAGGGAGCCTTACTCCTCATCCCAATGCAAGGGTCTCTGGCTCCAGTAAGGCCCAGAAAGCTCCCTACCTGTGAGTAGCATGAGCCAGGGTAACAGCAGGAGGGCCACAGTGTGGAGAGCTGAGTGAGCCCGCAGCAGGACTGACAGGGCAGGGCTCAGCAGTACTGAGATGTGGAGCAGGACACCGGCAGCATGGAGCAGCAGACACAGGAAGGGCCGGTAGTTTTGGAAGCCCACACAACGGCCCAGTAGGCGGCAGTGGTGGTCACGACGGAGGATACACACACGGCAGGCAGAACAGTGCCCACTTCGGGGTGGCACCTGGCTCTGGCACTGGTAACAATAACTGCAGGTGAAAGAACTAAAGGTCAGTGCCTTCAGCAGCTCTAAGTGCCCCAGATCATGACCAGCCTGGGTCATACAGCCCATGCTGGAGAAGCAGGAACAGTCACCACCCACTCTCTCCAGGCCTCAGAAGGCTCACCAGGCCCCTCTGATGCTAGCTAGCACTGCAGGTCTGACCTCCACCTGCAACACACTCAGTGAAAAGCAAAGCTTTCAGTACCTTTGTTGTTGTTGTTCTTTTTGAGACAGGGTCTCTTGTAGCCCCAGCTGGCCTGGAACTCACTATGTAGACCATCTGGCATTGAACTCACAGAGATCCACCTAGCTCTGCTTCCCCAGTGCTGGGATTAAAAGTGTGCGCCACCTTGCCCATCACTTTCAGTATCTTAGAAGTGCTGCCACTAACATCTCCCCTCTCTCCACACCAGCCATTGACCTTGGAGTTCTGGGAACATACTGGGCATTTATCAGCCTCAGCCTTTCCTCCCAGAACACAGTCCAAAAATTCTCATAGGGCTAACTCCCCCACCTCTTCCAAGTCTTTGTGCTAATGCCTCAATAAGATCAACCTTGATTGCCTATTTATTTTTATATTTTACTCTTTTTCACTTGTAAATGGACAAATTAAAGTCTTAAAATATCTACAGGGTACAAACTGATGCTGTGATTTTTTAAATAAAATGTAAAATTAATTAAATCAAGATAATTAATAAATCCATCACTTAAAATTCTAGTGGTGAAAACTGACCATCAATTTAAAAAAATAAAATAAAAACGGCCGGGCATGGTGGCGCACGCCTTTAGTCCCAGCACTCGGGAGGCAGAGGCAAGCAAGCGGATCTTTGTGGATTTGAGGCCAGCCTGGTCTACATAGCGAGTTCCAGACCAGTTAGGGCTACAGGAAGACCCCTATGCTTTGCTGC